GCAGTAGCAGCAGCAGCAGTGACAGTGACAGCAGCAGCAGCAGCAGTGACAGCAGCAGTAGCAGTAGCAGCAGTAGTGACAGCAGCAGCAGTGAGGACAGTACCGTCGAGAGCAAAAGCAGTGAGAGCAGCAGTGAGAGCAGCAGTGAGTGCGATGACGTTGAGGAAAAGGTAATTATGATGTCATTTCTTTGAATACAGTTAATAGGAGCAAGAAGGCAAAGCCTGCTTCATTGAAGGAAATGTATATAGCTGTATCTTTTCTGGCTAATGGGAATTACAAGTTGGCCAAGAGCTATGGGAGTCCACCTGACTTATGAAGGAATTCCCCAGCCATCTTGCTTGTTAGTCCTAGGTTCTGATCCCTGGAATTTGAAAGCTAAGCATTAGTTTACATGTGTATCAAATGGCGCTCACCCACAGAGATTTCAACACAATGTTATAAGGCATGGCATTTTGAAAGAAATCTTGACATCAAATAGGAAGGTTGGCGTCCATCATATTAGCTGGCTATTATGAAACTTTTGGTTGCCCATTGGGCTGACAATGGAGCACCAGAATAAGCAATTTTACCAACGAGTGTACCTGCATCAGAGTACACTAAATTCCACAAACGCAGAATGATAGAGAACAACAATGCACACTTAAAAGGAAACAAATTGTGTTGAGGTAACAACAAATGATGTGGTTTTGATTTCTGTTCATCTCTCGTCATGCTGATTTGTCATCTGCTTTCGGGGGTATGAGAAATCAGCATTGGGTATTTAGTAATCTTGTCATCTGCAGTATTGGGTGTTTTGAGTTAGCCCACAATGCAATTTCAGTAAGAGATAATAGAGCTTATAAATCAGTTATTTGGGAAAGCTTATAGTGATGGCATTGTTGTTATATCACTGAATATTCATTTTTAAAAATAGCATTTCTATCAAATATGGAAACTTTGAAAGCATCCCAAACTATTATTTTAGCCTTAAAAAGCAGCATTAATGAGGCTAGCCACCTTGTTTTAACCAATCATTCAATAAATAGACATGAATTTTGATCTTCAAAGTCCAAGAGGATCTTCAGGGACATGACTTTCAGAAATAACATTTCTATTCATATTGTTTTAAAATTAATAGTTTATGTACCATCACAGTGTGAAAATTTCTCTGAGTGTTCTTTTTAATTTTTTCCTAAGGGAAAACCAAAACAGTTTTATGCATATTCTTTTCGATCTCTGAAGAAAACGAAGGTAAGATATGGGAGTACAGAAAGTTTAAACAAAGCCGGAAAACTGTTGATGGGATGTTAGTGGCAATGCAGTATATTTCTTTTGGGGGGGAGTGCGGGGGAGTGGAAATATAATGTATTGAAATGAAGGTAACTGATTCCGGAAATGTTTCCATTTTCTTCATTTATCAGTACAATATCTTTTGCTATTTATTATAGAAAAGATAAATAATTTCAACATTCAGTTTGCTCCCCACTTGTTTAAAGTGTTGATTTATTATTATTTTCCTTTGTCAAAAAAACAAAACAAAAACCCTACATAAATAAACCACCACACCATTTTTTTCAGCTGTGAAGTTTCTTTTCTAATCTGAGGCAGAAAAATGGTTTTCTGTGCAGACTGGCACCTTTGGGAGGTATTGGGAATAGAAATTCCATAATTCCCTACCAACATGACAAATTAGCTAGTCCTTCATAAATGTGTATTCTGCACATCTTTGGGTGGCATTAGGATAGGGAAGGCTGTTCTAACTGTGAGACTTTCTTCTGCTGCTTTAAAACTCCTCTAAGGAAGCTGCGTATTCTGAAATTTGCTTTAATACTTTTGTTTCTGCAGTCACAATCTGATGACCCTTCTGATTCTGACTCTCAGCTGGACTATAAAAGAAAAGGAGACATCATTGATGAAAAAAGCTTAAAAGACTCTGAGGTCAGTATCCAAATACCTTTCCATTGGGAAACATCAATCTTGGGGGGGGAAAAAAACTATCTGGCTTAAGCATGAGAAACACAAAAGGCAATAATGAGATTTTAAGTAGTTTATATTTTATTGTTACCATTGTATATTTATACATTATTTTAGACTGATATGCTACTTGGTTTTAATAGAGCCATGGTGGCACAGTGGTTAGAATGCAGTACTATAGGCTAACTCACTGCTCACTCCAGGAGTTCGATTCTGAATGGCTTAAGGTTGACTCAGCCTTCCATCCTTCCGAGGTCGGTAAAATGAGGACCCAGACTGTTGGGGGCAATAGGCTGACTCTAGACCGCTTAGGGAGGACTGTAAAGCACCGTGAAGCAGTATATGAGTCTAAGGGCTATTGCTATTGCTAATCCAAACTGAAATTTCATGTATACAGTGAAAATATAAGATCCTAATATCATGCAAAAACGATAATATATACAGGCACTTGTTATCATCAATAAAAAGCAAGTAGCATAGGATCAACTTTAAAGAGACAGAACCCCCCCCCCCAAAAAAGCCTAACAAACAAACCTCATTATTCTTTGAAAGCAAGGACAATAACCTATAATCCTACAATTGTTGGTCAGGGTAATCTAGTCTTATAGCAGAGGTGGTATTCAGCAGGTTCTGACCAGTTCTGGAGAACCGGTAGTGGAAATTTTGAGTAATTTGGAGAACCGGCAAATACTGATTGGAGGTTTTACAGTATCCTTCCCCTGCCATGCCCACAGAACTGGCAGTAAAAAAATTTTGAATCCCACCACTGTCTTATAGGGTCTGGAGTTTAAGAACATCTGGCTGTATTAAACAGCTCAGTAATTGAGAAATTTTCAGGTGGGCTATTTAGCTCTCAGAAGTTACCTAGATTCCAGAATGTCCTAGGTAAGCTAAGCATCAACCGATGGCCCTCTTTAATAACACATTTGGGATTTAGTGGTAATTGTGATATTCACTTTAAAACAATGTACTTGTTAAACCCAGACCAGCAATTAAATAAATTTCTTCCTTTGGAATTGTTTTTTCTGCTTTAAAGATGAGGCCATACGCTGTTGTTGATTTCCGCTACGAATATCTTGGTAAGCAACCTCGTGGGCATAAACTTGTAGTGCTCAAAAGTCCCTCTGCAGTTAAAGTGACAGTGAAAGACATCGCTCGCCCAGCCAGTCCAGTGGTATGCTTCACCTACATGGAGCTCCATCCTCATAAAATGGTGGTAAGCCTTTTCCAAATGCACATGGTTCTATACAAGCATTAAATCAAAATATCGGTGACCGACATTAAGCAAAAGTATATCTGATGTATTTCTTTCCTTCTTAGGCAATTCTGAGAGCTGGTCAGGATTGCAGAGACTACGATGTTTCACTTGAAGTAGAGACTGGTGTGTTTGCTAAAAGGCCAGCTCTTCAGGCAAAATTTAAGTACCCTAGGGCTCCTAAGCCAGTGAATGATATTATAGAAGAGTAAGTAAATGATTCTGAAGATCTAATGCTGTATGCTACAGCAGCTGAGGTGTATATGTGTACTTAAATGAGCCTGATTCTTTCCCAACAAAGAGGTAGCTTTGTTTTAAACTAAACTGTGTTTCAAGCTAGTTCTGGTATCAAAGTCTGGGCAGTATTCGAAATTGATCTGTGAATAAATTTGCATTTACCTCATTTTTCAAGGAGAATAGCCTTTAAAAAATGGCTAGTTATTCCCCTCCCCCACTGATAAGGTCAACAAGTATATTCGATGGAGGCAGATCAGAATTATGTGGTATAGTACTCCTCTATGGACATTACTTATGCATTTATTTCTATTAACTAAAAGAGCTAACTTTACTACATCTGATCAAAATGAATGAATGAATTGGTTCCTCAACCAAGTACACCTTCTCAAAGGCAGCTATCTTTAAATAACTTGACTGGTTAAGGAAGGAAAGAGTATTGGCCATTTTATTTGCCGTTTTCAAACTATCTATATAACCTCTTGCTGGATGAATCTAGATTTTGGGGGAAGATTCCCTATAAATGCATTTCTACCTCCACTCCATCACCCATGCAAGCGATAGAATAATAAATGTCAAAGCTAAATGCAAATCAGGCGCATACCTACTCTTGGCTAAATCAATCTTTAAATATTATCCACCTACTTTACAGACTAAATATGATATATTGAGGACTATGAAGTTTGTTCTAGGGGTTTGTTTTCTTAGATACAGAATGTCCTTCCTATGTCCCTTAAATTATGTTCTGTTAAACCAGGCTTTTCTGTCTTTGTCAAGAGTTCTTGCAGTGCTCCCTGGAATTGCCTACATAGCAGACTTCTCTCACAAAGTCCAAAAGAATCCTGCTAAAGAAATTTCAATCATTATGGCTCTAAAACGTCCAGACGAATGTCTCATGGTCATGAAATTGCCAGAAGTGAGTTACATATTTTTTTAGACAACTCTCTTTTGTTTAAATACTAATCAATTAAATACCAAGTACATTTATTTATTCATTCTGATCAGCTTTGATGAGGTTCTCAAAACAGCTGCTCTACAGCCATGTAAAAATAGGGAGAGCCACAGGCGAATGTTATTGCCATTTTGAGGGTTAGTTTTTGGCCTACCTTCCACATATGTTCTTCCTATGTATACAGCAAGGCCGGTAAGATCTGGTTGTCCAATTGGTCAAGCCAAAGCAGTAATCCAATGTGAGAAGGACATTGATTAGGACTAGTGCATTGTCAAACTGTATCTATAAACTAAGTAAAAACAGAATCTTTGTGCCTCTTTGAAAATGCACTGGAAAAATAACTATTAACTCTACTTATTTTTTCATCTTTCTTTCCAGGATCTCCTCTACAATGATAACTGCAAACTTCCATATTCAGTGCCAATGGATCCCAAAGCCAAAACTTCAAAAATCGCTGATATTCCAAAATTGCTTCTTGCTGTTCGGAATGGTCAGCAGTTTTACTATGTACTTATAATTTCTGGACAATCTTGTGGTCCTTTCAATGATGTTGAATATCAGTTCCCATAATTCCCTGCCAAATGATCAGTAATCTGAGCTGATGAAATTCAACACCATTTGAAGGTTCACAGGTTTCCTTCCTCTACTTCAGCTGTTTAAAATATATATTATATCATAAAATTAATTTGTTTTATTTAAATTCATTTGAATATGTAGAGAAAGCTATAGCAACTTTGGATTTAATTTTTATTTTAGCCTAAATAAAATGCATATGTATATTATGTATATAAGACTATTCCATTTTTATAACCAAAGCGGAGTAATCACTTTATATATCATTTCACAGACAATTTAAAACCAAGTCAGTCTAAAAATTCATCACTTATTCCAAGGTGACTCGTGATAATGCAAAGAAAATATTAAAATGAACTGAACATAAATCTCCCTCTAAAAATATCTACAGATTTCTACATTAGATTTCTGTGGTAACAAATATAAAGTTATTTTCTCAAAGTTCTAAAATACAATTTATTGGCTGCTTCTCTAAATAGTCAAAATATTAGAAGCTTCTTTCTTCTCTCACCACATTCTTACTTGCTGTTATCAGGTATTTGTACGGTAGAAAGCAGAAGAATTTTAAATTTCAACAATCAAGTCATTACAAAAGGATTGCCTGATGATTGTTTCATAAATGTACTGGGAGATTGTACTTGTCACAAGAAGCTGCTTGTACTGATGAAATACGAAACAGCACACAATAATAGTCTTTTTATTGAAATCCATACACATGACATGTAAGTAATTTCCAATGCATTTTGAATAATCTAGCCTGAACTCATGAGAGAAAACGTAATTGCCAAAATTATTAGAAAAGAGCTATTCTATTATACATTTGTATGTTTTTTGAAAACTTACATAATTTTATTCAAAATCTGAGCAAATTAAATATAACTAAGCAACAACTATAACAACTGCAATAAAAATGGAATCTCAACAGCAGAATAAATCATGAATAGTAAGGATGAGGATAATAATAAGGCTGCACAACAATAATAACAACAGCAGGTATATATTAGAAAGCACTTATGTTACTGGAAAACAAGAATAACCAGAAGAGTCTCTTGTGTTAGAAAAATGTCAGATTTTTCTCTTGGCTTCTGAATTAAGAGTCCATCTTTGAGGGAAATGGATGATTCAGAAATGCGAAAAATAAATAAATGAGTGTTTCAAGTTTGGGTTTATCAGGAGCTATGAAGCGGGATATCCTGTGCTTTGCTTATACAGTAGACGAAAGTTCTGTTACCTCCAAGCAACCAGCATTTTTCAGCCAGTAATTAGGATTTTAGATATTGGGATACCTATTAAAACTGGCTATTTTAAATGGTATGTCTTTTTATGCCTGATAAAATAAACTTGCATAAGAGAATAAGGTAACGCTCAGTGTTAATGAACTCATTATTGTAAACATATTGAGCAAAAACTCATGAATTTTGAATTCAGTAGACTAACTCTCTTTTATATTTTCTGTTTCTATAAGTATATGTACCATGAAGCAGCGTGATGGTGAGCTCATTCTAGAAGTAAATGGCACTAGGTTACAGGATGGAGTTATCCCTCGTTCACTGAAACGTACGTAAAGAAAATAATCTTAGTCATGAGTTAATGAAACAAATGAAGAGTTTACTAAAAAAAAAAAATCAAAGAAACTAAGTTTATTGCCAAGAAATAGAAAATAATGATACAGTATAAATCGAGGAGAAAAATGAATTTAAAAAGAAGTATTGACTAATTCTGGATTTAGAAGTAGTCCTTCAATTATGCATTCTCCATATGGAAATGTTTATATTTCCTGAATCTAAAATATATTAGAAGGAACCAACATGGGTAGTTTGAAGATCAGGAAGGTTTAGATGGAAATGGGAAAAGAAACAAAGCATACTCCCTGAACAAATTTTATTTCAGGGGAATTCCATCTACTATCCCTCTTGGTGGAATTATTAATTGAACTTTCATTTCACTTTTAAAACTTACAGATGTACCTCTTCAATTCAAGGAAACAAAAAGTGAACTGGACTTTAGAATGCCCTTAGTGGGATTAGAAAATGCGGTATACACAGGATATAGTATCAAGGTATTTTTATTATATATTACTGTCATTATTACAGAATATTTAAAGTTGTAGAATGTTAAATGATAAGCAAATACAGGAATGATTCTTGCTCCTTTAAAGATTAATTAAGTTCTTGATGCGCTTAGGAGAACAGCACTTCAATCACATAAGATTTTGAGATAAATTGGTCTGAGGAATCCTGTTTAAATTTCTGGAAGGGGTGGGAAATGAGCAAAAACAATTTGAAACACACTCTGTTTTGTTGTTTCCGAATGTATTTATGATGTTTCATTTCTTTCAATGCTTGTTGTAAACAAAAATCTATTCCCCCCCCCTCCCACTTCTTTTTGTGAAGTTTGAAGTTAATCCCTTGATAGAAAATTCATGTGGTATCTGTGGATGGTATGGTTCAGAAGCAAAAGCATTCCGGAGACCAAGTGGCCACATAGCTAGAGATGAAGTGAGCTTTGTGCAGTCCTGGGTGGTCCCTGATAAATGTGGTGGAGGTAAGCAGAATCTGATGGCTTGCTTTAATAGTCACCAACAATCTGCTCCAGATTTTTCCTTGCTCTGCTCAGCACTTCGACATCACTGTAAGCAACTGGATTAAACCATCACTTTAATTTCCTATAATGGCTCAAACAAGAGTAGCCTATGGCTGCAAGGAATTAGTATTGCCCCAAAGTTGATTATTGTATACCTGTAGAATATATTGTTTGGAATAAATTATTTCAAATCACATACCTTCAAAGCTAGTAAGCATGAACATGATGCTTTCATAAATGCTACTTTGGAAAATGAAGCTGTAGAGCTTTCCTTTTGATAAATCTATCTTGTTCTCTTGTAGACTGTAAACTGCGACACACAACAGTGAGACATGAGAATCCAATCCTAATGGAACAGTGTGCTACCAATCTTCCTGTCACACGCTGTGCTGAAGGCTGCTCAGCCACCAGTACTACCCAAACCTTAGCTAGCTTCCATTGTGTGCCAACTGGTATGTAATGTTTACTTATTTTGGATATTCTTATAAAGGGGAATGTAAATGTTAGATATGGGCAGGCACACTAGATGATTCACTTAAGAAGAATATTTTTTAATAATTTTCTGCAATCTCTTGGTTTTCAAATATCTTGTCTTTAGAGGGGAGCACCAAAGAGCTTGATTTTATGGGGTCATTCAGAATACTGTAAACATTTTGCTCAATAGTGGATTTTCCTCTTCCCACTGTTGCTTCTATGTGAAGAAAGGACCTTAAAAAAAGGTGTCCTGAGCTGTACAAAAGCAGTAAAACTTTAAAAGAATCTTATTGTTTTAAATATTTTGTCTTAATAATTGGTTTAAAGAGGGCTTGACTGTTACCTACAGTGAAAAGTTATCTGCAGCCTAGTCTCAACACATAAGTATTTAGAAATACCTCATATTTACTGTGAACAGGCTTGAAAACTGAATAAGGGAAATACTCTGGTGTTCTAAGTGATCTCATTATCTTGGCATAAAGGACTGGGTCAAATTAGATTTGACTATTTGCTTGCATAAATTCAGTGAATGTGCATATCTGAAGAAGCTGAGTTATCCTTTGGATTATTGAAAGTGAGACTGAAAAAAAAAATATCCCCTTTCCCTGCTGTAGTCACAACTGCAAGTCCCTTTATCAACTTTTCCAACACAATAGTAGCTTGGGGAAAGTTATTCTGGGCAAGACTGGAGTAGGCCTTAATGGTAATGAGGGAGTTTTCTTTGGCCTTGCAGAAAAACGTTCTTTGTCTCATGCCATGTTGCTTCTTTTAATGATTTTACTCTTTTTCCTCTTCTTTCAGGATCAACCTTGCCTTCTGACCTGACTGTGCTGGCTGAAAAGTCTGACGATATGATAGACCTAGTTGAATCTCACACATCATGTTCTTGTGAACAGGAACAATGTGCTGCATGAGCCTTCAACTGAGCAGACTCAGTGCATATTCTCTTGTTTGCTGTGTGGGCTGATATGTCAATTCTAGGCTACTACACAGTTGTTAATTAAATTATTTTAAGACCCCTACTGTACCCTCTTAAAGAATCCAATTCTTCCTAAAGTAACTCTAAGCCTTATTCCAATATAACAAAGTCAACTCTAAATGTAATGGATAATTTTCTAATAAACACTTGCATTCCAAAAGAAAAAAAATGAAGTGGTGGCTTCTTTATTTCATTAGCAAAGTTTAATAAAAGGTTGCATTTGGTAGAGCAAAAATGATTGGTCATTTGGATAATAGGAAGTGGTTCTTTTTAAATTATAAGTTACTGTTAGAATTTTTCATTAGGAATTTCTGTTTTAAATAAATACTTTCCTACTCAGTGAAAAATATAGATTTCTCACATCATTGAGAAATACTATATGGTAAACTTCTCACAAGCTATATATGTTACAGAGAAAGATTAATATTCAGATTTATGGAGTTAAATTATTTGGAGTAAGATCAGCAAACTGAACTACCTTCAGTTATAATTACAAAGATCTGCTAATGCCCATAAATGCTACATAATACAAGTTAATAGATTTTGTTAACCCGTCCACATACCCTTGCTATTCCAAAATAAACTTTTTCTTGATTTAAAACCCTCTTCCCAATTACCAGAATTTCTTTCTTTTGTTTTAAAATCATAGATTGAAAAATCAAGTCTTCAATGGCATGAAGTAATACAGTAATGTATGCATCCTATCCAGAATCAGTAAAAGTGAAAAAAAACTTAAGTTCTTGTGTGCATATATGTGCGTGTGATTATGTTTTCATATACAAATCTGATCATTCAATAGCCCATATTTGAGCAGAGATGACAATGACAGTTTCAAAGTAGGGTAAATGGTGGAGATACCATTTTTAATGGAGTAGAAACTGAGCCAGTGACCATTCTTGAAATTAATGCACTGTAAGGAGATCCATATTCTCCACTGTAGTCCTGGCCCCATAATCTAATGATATTATTACTCCAATCCAGAGGTATTTTTCTATATTTTGTAGACAATGGTATGTGGAATGGGAGCAAAAGAGCCATTTTTAGGTAGACCATTTCTCAGTAGCGCTTATCAGTACCCATAACAAAATGGTTGTCATCTGGAAGGACAAATACTGCCTCTAATAGTTCAGCAGAATGGAGTGAATTTGCAGATAACAGAATAAAAGTTGGAAGGAATCTTGTAGGTCATCTAGTCCAACCCACTGCTCAATCAGGGGACCCTACACCATTTATGACAGATGGCAGTCCAGTCTCTTCTTGAAAGCTTCATGTCTCCCCTGGTATTTTACAATACAACCAAAGATAAAAGCACAATACAAAAGAGATAACCAGATAGGGAACCCAGCCAAACCTGCCCGAAAGACACATTCCAAACACCTCTAGCATCTCTAGCAAGGGGCTCCATCCACCCTGAATAACCGAAGATGTATTGACAGAGGCTCCTGTTGCTTCATCATCCTACCTAAAAGACCAATACTTCTACAGATTGGTCCATTGTTGGAAATAAGGAATCCAGATAATTAAATAAGTGTGGCATTACTTGAACAGATGCCTGTGTATGAGCAAACTGTCTGGTCTCATAACCCAAACCAAATTGGTCATAGTAGGCACAACTATATGATCAAAAGAAAAGAAAGATGCCCACAGGAGCTTAACGTGGCCATTGGTATCCAAGTAGATCACAAGTGACATACTGTAAATAGATAATATGACAGCATTTGCATTGGGAAAAGACAATTCCTTTTTAACAGCAGACCAAGTATGCTACCTCTATATCAGGCTGCAAATGACTTAGAGGTGATGAGATTTCTCTTTTAAAAAAGTCAACAAGCTATCTTCATGCCCTGGTTTGAAGGGTATAAAAATTAACCCTATGCCTTAAAGTAGAATGAGCAGGTTTGCATTTGTCTGAATGTGTGAAGGTTACTCTTTTTCTTTAAGCATCTATGAAGTGAATGCGACATCAGCCAAAGCCCAAGAACTCTTCGCATGGGTGAGAAGAGCAGGGAGGACTAGGCAAGATTTTCTGACTATAGGAAAACAGACCTTTATTGCTGCCAATAGGAAGAGTATTTCTGTGTAATTTATGATGCTCCGCAGCTAAATCAGTTATGAATAATTTCAAATATCAAACCCAGATGGCAGCATGTGAACATAACAATCTAGAATTGATTGTAGCGAGACTGGAGGCAAGCATCCACAGAAGCAATGGGAATGAAGGAGCAGCTGGTGAGGAACTTTTCACTCACTGCTGCTGTTACCAACTGAGCTGGAGTTTGGCCTCTTGGCTTTGCAGAGGTCATCATTTCTTGAGAGGAAGAACAATGGAAAGAGCTACATTTGTCAGGCAGATCTAGATTCGATGAACCTGGCCTACATATGTTCAAGCTGACTACTTTATTATATCCTGCCTATTATACAGGAATGTTATACAGCTCTTAATCTTTTTTTTTTTTTGCAACTGTGTAAGAATTCAAGGACACCTCCTGCAATGGTTCAGCTCCTAAAGCCACATCTGAGGCTTATGTCTGGTCAATAAATCTCTTTGATGAGCCTGGGTCTTGGAGAAGGGGCTGTTTGGTAAAGAACTCCTTTTGGTAAAGAACTGTTGGTGGTGCAGTGATTAGAATGCAGTATTGCAGGAAAACTCTGCCTATAGTCTGGAGTTGGATCCTGATGGGGCTCATGGTTGACTTAGTCTTCCATCCTTCCAAGGTCAGTAAAATGAAGATTGATTGTTGGAGGCACTATGCTGACATTGTAAACTGCCCAGAGAGTGCTGTAAAGCAGGGCTCTCCAACCTTGGCAACTTGTGGCCTTCGACTTCCAGAATTCTTCAGCCAGCTTTCCTGGCTGAGGAATTCTGGAAGTTCAAGTCCACAAGTCTTAAAATTGCCAAGGTTGGAGAGCCCTGCTGTAAAGTATTGTGGGGTAGTATATACATTGAAGTGCTATTGCTCTTTAACTTTTCAAATGAAGATTATTCTATTTCTATCCAAGCAAATTTCTCTTTCTGTTTCAGCAATTGAGTTGAGAAGCTTAATTTGTGTGCAAAGTTAGGAATGAACTACCTATAAAAGTTAGCAAAGCCTAGTAAACATTAAACCTCCTTTGCATGATAGGGGGTTGCCAAGACAGTACTCTGTGCACCTTCTGGGGATCCATCTGGATCCCATCTGTGGAAATGGGATCACCCAAAAAAGCCCACCTGCTTTAAGTCAAATGTACATTTCTCCAGCTTAGCAAGTAGGTGATTTTTCAATGGTCTGCGCAAGACATCTCATACATGATGATTTATATCCTCTGAACAAATCAGGATACCTGCCAGATATAACACTACAAATATGTCAATTACATCAGAAAAAAAATTGATTCATAAATTTAGAAAACACTGCTCCACAATTGAAGTACCAGCATCATACTGGAGCACTATGCCATGCAAAAATGATCTGTGGGCCACTGAAGGGATGGATCTAATTGCAGTTGCACTAGTACTTAGTATAGTGAAACTTCATTTTAGCATACCTCAAAATTTGCACATAATAGATGCAAATATCAAAAGTTGATCAAATGATACAAATCACTTGGATAATGTTATTGTATAAATGACAGAAATCACACTGACATGCTATCTTATTTAACAGTTACTTGCGAATAAGACACACCCTTTATACATTTAGTTTCTTAAAACAAGATTTCATTGCCTCACCAGACTGCAAGAATTCCAATTGGCCAATCTCTTTCTCCTTTGTGAATGCAAATATCACTGGAAAATTATGTAACACAAATGAAAAGTTTTGGGAAGATTATAAACTATGGATTTTGCATTTTAACATCTTTTCTCCCCAAGCCGACTGAAACAAACAGATGCATTGATTACGGACTCCAGTTTCCTTTTATTCAGCAAGGCAAACTTCTGACAAGGTAGGGAGAAATTATTTTATTGGGGTTCTAGCCAAAACGAAAATAATAAGAATTTATAGTTTTTCCACCAGGGGTGTACGCATATGTGTGAAATACAGAGAATACGGCTTAGCTTGAAACAAGCAAAATTTGTGACTTCCTCAAGAATATTCTTTTTTTTTAAAAAAAAAGGGGTACTATCTATTTCCTTTGTGACTCATCGCCCCTGCACCCACACCCCCCATATGCTGGATGAAAGACAGCCATCACTACTAACCACGATGACTGACGCTTCGATCGACGCTGGGGGGCGCTCACAGCCCCTACTTTCCAACAACCCAGATCTCCTCCTTCTCTGAGGAGCGACAGTTCCCCAGCTTCCTAGTCAGCCGGCAGCCAAACAGGTTCTTCCCCAGCCTGAGACAGTGCGACCAAGGCGCAGGGCAGAGGAACGTGCGTGGGGGACGCTGTTAGAGAAGCCGAGCCGAACCGGCGCGCCCTGGCCATGAAGACTTCGGGAGCGGGCGGAGACGCGCGTCTCTTGACCGCGATCGTCTTCGCCCTGCACTTGCGGTTGGCTGCCGGCGTGTGCCCGTGTCAGGATCCCGCGCTTTGCAAGCCTATCTCCAGCCCCAGAGACTTCGAGGTGAGCTCCCCGGTCCCGCCTTTTCTCCCCTGGAGGAGGGGGAAAGAGTTCCGCGAAGTTCACGGATCGGGTGGACTTGCCTCGCTCGGGTCAGTCGGTCCCCAACGAAAGTAGAAGCTTACGGGACTTTGGGGCTTACAGGGTTGGGCATTTGGCTGGGGAAAGTGAAGCAGGCGTGGCCCGCGCGCGACCGTGGGAGCCAGAAAAGGTCTCCGCTTTTTAAAAGAGGCGAAGGACAGGGACCCAGTGAGGATCCCCCCTCAGATCCCAATGATCTATGTTCGCTATGCATGCACAAATGCTTCCTTAGCCAGTCTGTTCTGTCTCTTAACATTAAGCCTACTCCACGTTAATGGACCTTAGCCTTCCCAAACTGCAGGCGGCTGAACATTTCCCCGGGGTTGGTTGTCCATTCCGGGAAGTGGATCGCAGCTGGAATGGATCGATGCCCTGCCTCTTTCTGTCGCTTCAGGCGGAAAGAAAATAAAAACTCTGGAGGCATCTTCCAGCCTAAGGCTTGATGCGTCACTTGCCTTTCTCTTCTTCAATTTCCTGGTGCTGGGGTGAAACTCCAGGAGGGTGGTTGCAAAATGAAAACAAAAGGTGACAAATCTGAAAATATTTGGCAAATATTCATAATTGCCAGAAGTTATCGGGGAGGGGAGAGATCCAGCCCTCAGCCTCTGCTTTGCAGTGTGCCACAGGGCTCAAACCTCTTCTCCTATTTATCATCTACAGGTACATGAAAGGATTGGGCAATGTCATCCATGAGCACAGGTTAAAATTCCATCATTAGGCTGATGACATTCCATTGTATATCTATGCCCTGAGCCACACCAGTAAAGCATAGTTGATGTAGTTTCCTGGAGCCTGTGAAGGTCTGGATGGTGAGAAAGTGTCTTGGGCTTGACCCTCGCAATAATAAATGTGGGTTTTAATATCCCCCATACCTAGTAAATTTCCATCAATGACTCTGAATGGGCGTAACAACATTCCCCAAGGCAGAATTTGTGGGGGTTCTCAAAGAACAGATGGCAGCTATGGCTAAGAATGTTTTTGTGTGTGTGTGTGTGTGTGCACAATTACATTTTGTGTAGCAGTTGTATCCATTCTTAGATTGAGAAGCATTGCTCATGGTCACTTGTACTTTAGTCACTGGACTATTGCAACATGTTTTACATGAGGCTGTTCTTGAAGAGTGTTTGGAAGCTTCAGCTCAGGGAGTACTGGGCCCTCACAGAACGCCCCCATAATGTTGCTGTTTTGTGAGGTGTACTGGCTCCTGGCGGCCTTCCAGATGCAATTGGAGGTTCTGGTTGTCAATTTTCCAAGTCCTGCATGGCATGAAGCTAGGTTACTTGTGGAACTCACTCTCTCTGATGATCCCATCAGAAAGGATAGAACGGGTCCCATCAGTAAAGCTGTGTCACTTAGTAGGTCTTTGGAAAGTGTATTTTCCCTCATGGTTATTGTCCTGTGGAACAACTTCCCCTAGAGATATGGATAGCCCCAACCCTGATGGTCTTCTATAGGATAAAGGCCTAGTATTCTTCCAGGGGATCAAGATATTAATTGAGCTCTGATGTGGGCGTAGATTTATCTGTTTATCCTAGTGAGACTTTCAGGGGTGGTGGGGAGAAGCTCAACTGGTGTTGCTATTTCTTTTTTTTATATATATACCTTTTTTGCTATTATAGGTTCTGTTTGTTGTTTTTATTAGTTTACTGTTTAGAGCGCTTTGGGAAAGGGGTAGGCTTGACTTATAAATACATAAATACACAAACAAACAAATCCCAGTTTGAAGAAAATAAAGAGAAATTACATATCTTGGCCAAACTGGAAATGCCAAGCAAGTTCATGTCTGATTAATTATCAGATGGGAGCTCACCAAGAAATAGCAGAGCTGCAGGATAGACTGGGAAATAGGAAAAAAGAATGCACGCCAGAATGTGGCAGTGGCAAGCTATTTTGTGGTTAAGGAAACTACACAGACATTAAGAGATGTGTGGGCTTTATTTTGTAACATAAACAATGTTCAGTTGACAATAGCTTCCATGTTCCTATAAGGATTTTCTTTTTCTAGTCAGTTAATATATCCTGGTTCTTTTGGCATTTTGTAGGAATCTGTCTTTAAACCAGGATGCTTGAGCCAATCAGATGGGCCTTTATAAAAGAAAATACCACACAGCCAAGATATAAAGTCTGCCTAACGTTTTCTAAAGTCTTTACTGTATAAACCTAAATTACAATGACCACCCACATAAACTGAAAGACAGGATACTGTACAAATATATAGGTAATCCTTGACTTATGACCACAATTGACCATGACAATTGGCCTTTCCTCCCCCTCCCCAGAAAATGTCAAGAAATATTACAAAACCTGATTAATGATAATTGGATGCTGCAGTAAATGCGAGCAAGTTGCCTAGTGCCTGAAATGCAATCACATGACTATGGAAATGACATAGTCATAATTTTGGAGACAGATTTTAAATAAAATTTTTGAATTAATGATTTTAGAATGATTTTAGAAATCTATATATATTGCAGAAAAAAATGCATATATGTGAGTCACTCTAGGGGGAGCTTATAATTGAACCAAGCATTTCTATGTCATTCCAAATTACCAGAATTTATACTAGGCAAATAGCTTTTAGGCCCCTTTCCCAATTTGATGGCCTTTGAATTTGTTGAACTTTGGACAGAAAATTATGGGAATTGGTTCAACATAACCCCCCTCCCCCCAAAAAAATCAGGCTGTAGAAACTTTTTTCCTCCCTAGTCCTAATTAAGATTGTTTTCTTTACCAGCTAAATCAGTTAAAGGACAATGATAAGAATGATACTTTTTTTAAAAAAAAACCTGTTCCTCTGTAGGTCTTTGTATTTGATGTTGGTGGGAAGACGTGGAAAAATTATAACTGGTCACTAATTACGACAGTGGCCACGTTTGGAAAATATGACCCTGAGCTTATGTGTTATGCTCATTCAAAAGGATGCAGAGTAGTTTTGAAAGGTAAGTTCTAATCAGGATAATGGGACCATTTTCTGCACCTTGTCTTTATGTCTTTTCCCACAGGTAGGACCCACTGAACTTAATTAAATCTATATTAAGTATGTGTAAAAATGCAAGCTTAATCATTATGTAACACTCTAGCCATTATTATAATTTACCCATGACAAAAGAATTTGCATTAGGGCATCACCAGACTCAGGATAAAAAAAATGTTTTCTATTTAGTCCAGTTAGTTTTAGCATATTGGGAGTCCAATTACTTTTAGCACAATGGGATTCTGAAAAATGCCAGTTTAATAGGCATTTCAAAATATTTAATGTGCTGAATATTCCATCACAGACATAACCTCATGTATATATTACCCAGCTCCAGTATTTTAATTAGTGTACACCTTGGAGTAGTTTTTGTGTCCTCTGAAAACCATTCTCTAGTTGTACATTTAGAGCTGACTACATGTACAGGTAGTCCTAGATTTACAATAGTTCATTTAGTGAACATTCAATGTTACAACAGCAAAAAAATGATTTGTGAACACTTTTCACGCTTGAGACTGTTGCAGCATTCCCATGGTCCCATATCTGATCAAAATTCAGATTCTTGGCAACTGATTATACAGTATTTAACATGGTTGCAATGTCCTCAGGTCATGTGATACCCTTTTGTGACCTTCTGACAAGCGAAGTGAATGGAAGGCAGATTCACTTAACCACTGTGTCACTAAGTTAACAACTGCAATGATTCACTTAACAACTATGGCAAGAAAGGTCATAAAATGGACCAAAATTCACTTAACAAATGTCTCGTTTAACAACAGAAAATTGGGGTTCAATTGTGATCGTAAGTTGAGGACTACCTGTATAATTTCATTGGAATAAATATCAGTTTCATAGTTATACTAATTTATACTCATATATAATCCCGTTACATTTATGTTGACAGAAAAACAACCCTATGGGGCCTTTTTGATATATATAAAATTCAGAGAATCGGGGCCTTCTTTCAGTGCTTTTCCTATTAAAGCAAATTGAATATATTACGCTTTTCAAGACAAATCATTTTAATATAACATATTCTGACATTAGGCTTCACTTACTAATTATTAGGGTAAACACTGACATTCTAAATTACTGGTTAACCAGATTATATAATAATTGGAAACAAAAATTCAGACTGCTAAAAAGATAATAATTTTTAAAAGTGATGCAGTTATAAGTAAATTAACCAGAGTGTCACAAAATAGATTTATTCACAAGGCAACTACAACAAGGAAATAAATTTGAACATTTATCACTTATGTCCAAAATCAAAAACAACTCCTTTAAAAATGGAGGTGATCAGTTTCTTTGATTTTCATGTAAAATAGAGATTTGGCCCTTTAGCCCTGACAGGAAAAGTAAATACGTTATCCTAACCAAGAAATTTTTTCTTAAAGCCTAATTATTTTGTTCTGGTCAGCCTTCACGCAGCCCATCTACATAAGTATTAGATGTGCAGCATTGTTGAGAGTTGTGGAGAGAGCTCATCTAGAATGTATCCATATGAAAAGATTACTAAATCCAGTTTGTGATAATGTTCTTCCATGATGAAATTTCTTTGCTAGGTTTTTCTCATGCACTGTTTTTCAGTAGTTAACATTACACCACAGCTGTCAGACTCCTAGCCTGTGGGCCAGATGCATCACACGCTGGGCACGCCCACACCAGTTTAGTGAAGGAGGGGGGAAAGTCCCAATATGTCACATGACGACGCCGTGACGATATGAGTTTGACATCCCTGCACTAAAAATATTCAAATCATAAGTTTGTCCAAATAAGTGTCACCAGCAAAGCAGGATAGGAAGCATAGCAGAAAGAGGATATAAATCCCAAACAATGAGTACATAAAAGCTGAACAACTTGTTGTATGGCTATTATTATTTTGGTATCTTAAGCAACATCTGAAGCACTTATGACCTTGGTGTTCCTTGTTTCAGTTTCTCTTTTA